GCCCAAGCGTTTCCCGGCACTATGAGGCAGTACAACAGAGGGAATAGGGGGCAACCTTGTCGTACCCCTCGCTGGAGGGGAAACGACGAGGAAAGCCAGCCGTTGTTAATCACCCGGGAGGTAATATCCGTGTAGGTAACCTGTACCCATCTGCGAAAGTCGGGCCCAAAATTAAAGCGATGCAGCACACGTTGTAAGAACTGGTGATTTACGCGATCGAAAGCCTTCTCTTGGTCGAGGCTAACAACAGCTGCCGACAGCTGTTTATGCCCCGCGATCGATCGTATCGCGTAAAAGAAATGGATTTTCAAAAATACTACGGCCGGGGACGCCACAAGTTTGATCTTCGTTAAGAATGTTAGGGAGAACCTTTCTCATTCTATTGGACAAAGCCTTTGTCGAAATCTTATAATCGAGGTTCAACAGCGAAATTGGGGGCCAATTTTTTTAAAGATAGTGGATCGTCTTTCCTGTAGAGCAAACGCAGGATGCCCTGGCGTTGCGATACCGAGAGAAAACCGCCACGGAAGGAAAAATTGAGCGTCTGCACAAGGTCCGGCCCAATAGATCCCCAAAACCTGGAATAGAATTCGGCTGGAAAGCCGTCTGCTCCCGGCGATTTAGCCGATACAATTTTTGAAAGCGCTGCGTGACACTCGTCGTGTGTCAACTCGCCTTCGCTCAATTTTTCATCTTCGGATGTCAAAGTGGAATCCAGCTGCTTTATGAGCCAGTCCTGGATCGCAGAGTCTAACGGTTCCTCAGTGTAAAGTGCCTTATAGAAGGCCCGACATTCGTGGAGAATGCCACGGCAAGATTTTTCCGTTGTATGGTTAGTCACACGCAATTCGTGAATTGCATTACGTAGCTGGCGGGATTGTTCGAGCTGGTAAAAATACCGCGTGGGTTTTTCCCCCAGCTTGGTCCAATCTTCTTTACTACGGAGAATGCACCCCGAAATTCGTTCGTCGTCCATTTCTCTCAACCGATCTTTAATCTCGAGCAATTGATGACGATGATCGGCGTTGTTCGCATCAGCCCGGGATTGTTAATCCCTAAATGCTCTCGAGAGAGCGGCTCGCTCGCATCGGCGTGTGGTCGCGGCTTTGACACCGTGGGAAATTGCAATTTCCTTAAGTTGAAATTTACCCGCATCCCACCAAACTCTGGGGTCGGTGAAAAGGGATTTTTTTTGTTTTGAGTTTGCATTGAGACCAGAAAGATTCCACTTCTGTACAGAACTCGTCCGATTTTAAAAGTTTCGTGTTAAATTTCCATATGCCTCGGCCTCGGGGGTTTGAATTCCCCAATTGTACATTAATTGAAACCAGGTGATGGTTGGAGTAGGGGAAAACTTCGCTTTTGTGGTCACGCACTTCCGATCTCCACGCGCTTGGAGTGTAAAAGCGATCCAAGCGACAACCGACCGAATGTGGGCCATTAAACCAGGTGAATAAACGCCGTGTCGGGTACTTAACACGAAAAACATCCTCGAGGCCAAGTTGTTCCGTCAGTGCATGCAAATCGGGAATTCCCTTGTCCCCGAGGCTGTCATCGCCACCGGATTTATCCACCTGAGTGTTAGGAACACAATTAAAATCGCCTGCGAGGATAATATCGGTGTTGTGGTTGGCGTAACGCCACAAATTTGCGAAAAATGTAATGGTCGGTGTAATTGTTAGGGGCGTAAATATTTACAATTTGGACCGAGCGACTATTTTCTTGAATAATAGCTGCAACGACACGGCCGGCCGTGTCGGTAGAAAAGTTTTCGATTTTAATTGTGCTCCTGGGGTGGACAAGCAGGTCCACTCCGGCCGAACGTGTAGTCCCCGGAGACCAGCGCGCGTGACCGCCCCATTGTTTCGCCCAAAGATCGCGAGATCTGGTAAATTCGTCTCCTGTAGGAGACAGATGTCGAAATGGCTGTTTTGTAAGAAATTGAAAACTTTTTCCCATTTGAGGGAATCGGCGATGCCATTGACGTTAAGCGTACAAATGGACACCGCCATTAAGAAAAGAAAAACGGGAAAATTTAAATTAAACATTGTGATGCGTCCAGAAAAAGTTCATAGGCCTGTTGGGCCTCCCTGTGGAATTCTAACAGTTTGGCGAAGGCATCCTGTTTGATGGTATCGTTGAGGTTGCGCCAGGTTGCCGGTGTGACTGGGGCGAGTTTATATTGGCGTCCCTTCGCCTTGGTGTAGTTTCCCAGCCTGTGGAAGAGAAAATAGCCCCTGCATTTGTAAAAGATAGGGTCAGGAGCAGCGGCCATGAACGCTTTTCTGTTAGGCCCTTGTTGGTCGAGAGCGTCCAGGAAAGCCTTGACGCCAGATGTGATGGTCGCGGTCGGCCGTGAAATTTCCTGGGTGGAATTATCGAGGGAAAATTCGAGGGAATTAGTTTCTGAAGGGGGCGGATTGTCAGTAGTAGTTGCCTGTGTAGGCCCACTCTCTTGCGGGGAGTTTTCTGGACTCGGGGCCGGTGTGGAGACAAAGTGTTTCGAAGGCACCGTAAGCTCTTCGTCACTACTGGCGGTACATGTCGAAGGGGTCCTGTGTGGATCCAGCGGCTTCTGCGTAAGAGGACGGCGTAAAAGGCTCCTCACTATCACCCCAGTTGCCAGTGAAAGCGTTTTCGGCGGTCAGTTTGGCCTCAGGGTCTAAGGTAGGGCCGAGAGGATCTGCTGGTTCGGGTGGAGCCGGGTGTCGGGGGGTGGGCGGACGGGTGCTGTGGCTCGTTTATTTTTCGGACAGTTTTTCATCACGTGCTCCATTGATTGACATCGGTAACATGTGGTGGGCTAGCCAGAATATTTGAAACCGATTTCGACGCCAGCAACCACGAGGCGTTTGGGGATATCTCTGTGCATTTTCAAAAATTCGGCCACACGTACACCGTTTTGTATAGGGCGAAAACCATCCTCAGGGTAGTAGAGGCGACGCAATTCCAAAGATTTGAGTTCCCCGTAGTTGCTGAGCAGGTAGACAAGTTCTTCGTCTGGGAATCCCACGGACACGTAGATAGAACGGGTTCCTAATAAGCGTAAGGGTTTACGCTCGTTGCCGTAATCGTAGCCGGCTTGAGCGAGTCCAGCCGGATCGGCGGCAGTATCCAGGGCTATGTCGAAGCATTTCGCTCCAAATTGCGGTACAATATCAGTAATTTTACTCGCAAAGTATGGCAGAGACTTAGCGATTTGTAGTGAATCTATCTTTATATTATTGTCGACCACCAAACGTTCGTTCCGCCGGTGAGCAAAAATGGGACGCGGGCGGCTGAGTGCCATACTAGGGCTTCCGTTGGCAAAACCACAAATAAAACACGCAAACCGCCGTACTCACCACTTCTATGCTGTAGTTTCGGAGGAAAAAAGGCTCTTTTTGATTGCGGACAGTTAAAAGCAGCACTACAGGAGAAACGACTACACTTCGACAATACACGTCATGCAAGACTAGCAATGTGATATACCTGATAGAATGCAGCAAATGTAACAATCAGTACGTAGGCGTGACAGGTCACCCAATTTACCATCGTGGCAATCAACACCGCAGCGACATCAAGGGTGGACATAAAAGCATACCCTCTGTCCGACATTTTTAGAACTGTGGAGTCGATCATCTTAAACTTACGGTTATTGAAAAAGTTAGAACTCAAAATCAAGAAATCAGAAAAGCAAGAGAAAATTATTGGATTTTAAGACTCAATCCTACTATCAATAAGCTTCCTACATGAATTATAACTACTTTAACTTATCTATTTTAGTCATTATAACACGTTTCGCTGTTATCTATTCTATTTTTATATTATTACGTCATGAAATGTTTACTGTTGACACGAATTTTAAATTTGAATGTTGCTCATGTAATTAGTATGCTCCTGTGGAAGACCGAGACGGTCGAAACGCCGAGCTAATAAACCAACAAAGCTCCATTGGAGTTGGGGCTGATAGTTTCGAAAGAAATAAATTGTTAAATATATATATTTAACAATTATTCGCTGAAGGCGAGGTGAATATCGTCGAATAATCCCCGAGACGAAGCCGAGGGGATTATTAGACAATATTCATCGAACCTGAGGGGAATAATTGTTTTAGCATAATTTCAGAGCTGAACAACAGAGAAATTTCTAAAATCATAACATTTTAGTAACATTTATTAACTTTTTATTTTAACATTTCATATAAACCGCGTGGAGCGGTTTATATAGCGTCATATAAGGAACCGCTCGACTAATCAGATTGCTGGAAACTCCTTGCTCAGCTCTGAAATTATACTAAAATTATGCTCACCTCCCTATCCCCGTTGGGAGAAAAAGTGTTCAAAACGTCGCAATCGTATACCAAGAAAACTGATACTTGATGACGACAAGCGATGACGTGCAGATTAACAAGAATAAAAAAATATCATGAGTTATCCAGAAGATGAACGACTCCATTCGATTCTGACTTAAAAACGTTCACACGCATTGCTGTAACTCNCTCGGTCCAAATTGTAAATATTTACGCCCCTAACAATTACACCGACCATTACATTTTTTGCAAATTTGTGGCGTTACGCCAACCACAACACCGATATTATCCTCGCAAGTGATTTTAATTGTGTTCCTAACACTCAGGTGGATAAATAAGGTGGCGATGACAGCCTCGGGGACAAGGGAATTCCCGATTTGCATGCACTGACGGAACAACTTGGCCTCGAGGATGTTTTTCGTGTTAAGTACCCGACAAGGCGTTTATTCACCTGGTTTAATGGCCCACATTCTGTAACTCAAGTCTCAGATTAGCACTGCTCACACCCAAGAGCACGTTTTCTAGAATTCGTTGGAACTGTTCGGCTCGCTGAGCCTGAGTTATGGCTCCTCAGAGCGTCTAGTGTTATCAATGTCACGCTATCGGAATGCGAACTGACATATTGAATGGCACTTCTGAGTGATCTGATTCTCCAGTTTCCGCTTGCATTTATGGCGGCAGTCAGAGCCGTTACCGTACTGTAATTACTACCGCCAACTGCATGCATCTACATATGGAGAGAACGAGTTACACCATACTTCAGATAGCAGTTATCTTGCTCCTCTTGGTTTTGTCGTGTCTTGGCTTAGAAGGTTTGTGACTTGTTATTTCTATTGATTCAGTATCATCAATTGTTTGATTAATCTTTTTTAACTCGATTCTCTCTTCGAATACATCTTTCTTAAATTCATTGGCTCTTCTTTGAAGTTCTGAGCTTTTCATTTTCACAGAATTGAAAGCAAAAGGGTTTGCTTAGATCGTGCTATCTCTGTAGTGAGTATCGATCGAACTGCCGTTGGATCGATGAATTTAAGATAACAGGAATTTGAAATATTACAATGCAATTGAATTGTTTATTTACTTTAATATTGGAATTAAATCGGATCGTTCCTTGCTATCGATATATTGTGAAGACGAAATCTCCACAAAGAAATATTTATTGTCTACTTTTTCATCAACCGACTATGTTCCTAGTCGACGTGTTAACTCATTAAACAGTCGTGATGTTTTGCATGACACAAATTTGCACGTAGCTAAACACCAAAGACTCTCGTCACCCTTTACTCTTATTACTTACACAAATTTGCGCACGAAACAATCGTCAAATTTTCTTTTTTTTTTTATAACAGGAACCTGTTATTTAATTATTACGTGTAAGTTGTATTTGAATTCAATCTAAGTGGGGAATATTGTTTAAATAATTATCTTTTGCGGGTTTGTTCTTTACGTCATTCCCTCCGTGTTGGTGGACGTAAACAATAGATATCTCATTAGCTCCTTTTGTTCGTCCACCAGCATTTGTTCTTTTCACCATTGTTCCCTGTGTCTCTAGAGATTGGTTGCAAGCCACATATTCAGTCTCCCTCGCGTCCTTTTGGTTTTGTCACGCAACGCGTTGTCTTAGCCACGAGCGTTTTAAACTTCCAAGATCCAATAAGTAATTCTCCCTGCTTACTGCCATACTATCCCTTGTAAATTAGACTTGGGAATTTGGTCTTCTTCCAAAACAACACCCCCTAGCTGATGAGCTATAAGCTGTTCTCATAACCTGTTTGCAAGAAAACTTATTGGAATTTTAATGAGAAGTTGCGTGGTATTCACCTCTGGGAAATAAAAGTTTAAAATAAAGCCGTCGAGTCAAGGAAAGTTCACTTGAATGTGATAAGCAGGGAATATAGACAATCACTCTGCGTAATACTGAAGGCATGAGCAATAAGAAAGTGCTTTACTTAAAGGAGGTATTTTCTCACCGCAGACTGTGGTCGGAGACCTCCTCTACCACGAGTGATTGGAGGTGACGAAGCTATACCTCACTCTTGGCCATGGCAAGCCAGGATCATCCTCCAGGACGAAAATGGAACGTGGAATCACAAGTGTGGTGCGTCCCTGATTCATCCAGAATGGATCGTCACTGCAGCCCATTGTTTGGCCTTCCACCCGGATCCAAGAATATACGGCGTCATTTTAGGTTTGTCTTAATAGGGGTGTCAAACAAATGATGCACCACTGAACGGATGGCACGATTTTTTGATTTTTCCTTCCGTGGCGGTTTTCTCTCGGCATCGCAACGCCAGGGCATCCTGCGTTTGCTCTACAAGAAAGACGATCCACTATCTAACAATACGCACTCTTCGTGGTTAGGTATAAGGTTTACGGCTTAAGCTGTCCCTAAAATTCTGTGCTGTATTGTTTCCTTTTTCAGTGAAACAGGTTTCCAGGACTTTGCGAAGCTACAATGAGCATTGTTATATACCTAGACTTTCCCTCGACAATACGAGCACTGCAATTGGTTGATTCGGGACTCTCGGGAAAACAAAACTAAATGTTTCTTCGGGACCATACATGAAGCGTATATTATTTCTCCGGTTTTTCACTGTTTACCGCTAAAGGGCTCCTAAAGAAGCTCTTTATGGAAACTCGACTATCACCTGTATTTCTTCGGGAAAACATAGCTTTTTTTCTTTGGGTGAGGAACAAGAATTATCTTTTTCGGTTCACTTGATAGAGTGGACGCCTTCATGACTCGTTTATTACAGAAATGCGTTTTTTAAAACGCTTTAATTGATAGTCGAAGTTACAATCAGTGATACAGTCAAAAATGCCATTTTCCTGGTGGCTCCCCAATATGTATCTAGCTCAGATAACAAATGAATTACAGAAGACGCGTTTAAGTTACAAAATAGTCACTGGAACCCTTTAAAGTCAATAGGCTTTTCATCTTACTGGCAATCTTCCTCGATCTGGAGTTTCACCGTTGCCACGTTACTCCCACGCAAGACTTCCCCCCAGTAGATCCCAAACTCTGTCAGCGAAATGATATTACGGTTGAAACATAGTCTATAATTAGATGAATATGTGACTGACTTTTCATTTACTGATTAATTGATAGGAGATCATGATTGGGCGGAAAACGAACCTTCAGAGCAGTGTTTCGAGGTTTCGCAGTTGTACGTAAACAGGTTTTATCAAACGATATCTGGATATGGTCACGACATTGCACTTATTAAACTGTCAAGACCAGCGATTCTTAATAAAGATGTGAATCTTGTGTGCCTTCCGAAGCAGAACAACAGAGTTGCTATTGGCAAGATGTGTTACTTGACAGGTACCCTTGTAACATTATCTGTCATAGGATTTATAGAATATTTAAGGTACTACGTGCGCTCTCATTGGTTGATAGATGAGTTAAAATGAAAGTAGGTAGCGGATCCAGAGGGGGGAGGGGAGGTGGTTTTTTTATGCGTATACCTGCCGGCTTTTCTTCCTTTTGCGTTTATTTTTTCACCCAAAATAAGGGGCCACTGAACACGGTTGTGACTTCGCGTTCTCTGTGTTTTCCAGAAATAGTTCATGAATGCATTAAGGGAATTTTCCCGTGTATACATTGCCTCATTTTAAAACTAGGCGTGTTGAGAGAATTTTCGAAAGTCTTTAAAACGAGACGTGTTTCTCCTCTCAACTGCTTTCTCAAACGAAGCCTGTCACGTCACGTCACGTTAAGCTTGGAAATGCCCTTTTGTAATTTGTGTTTCCTTTCTTTCTGGATAGGCTCTTTCATTTTCTTTGTTGGACTTTGTTTTTCTTTATTCATCTTTTGGTGATATCGTTAAGTTAATGTCTCTAATGCAAGGGCTGAGCTCATAGTTTGGAGAGTTCCCTTATACATGTAGCCCTTTTTTAAACCTCAGTCACGCAAAAACTATTTGGTCTTTCCTCTGCCGTAAAGTTAAAATTCAGACATATTGCACATGAATAAATATTAATTTCTAATCATTCTTAGGATGGGGAGTTTCGAAACCTGGATCTAGCGAAAAAACCCCAAAACTGCAGCAAGCTCGGTTACCAACGGTCAATTATTCAACATGTTGGATTGGAAATTCCTTTTTCCAGCCTATCGACGACGAAACGATGCTTTGCGCCGGTTTCGGTGAAGGAAAAACCATTAGTGGATGTAATGGTGATAGTGGTGGACCGTTAGTATGCGAGGAGGATGGAAAATTTGTTCTGAGGGGTGCTGTGAGCTGGGGGATACCAGGATGTCCAGGCGGAAGACATTATTCGGTTTTCGCCCGCGTCAGTTCTTTCGTGAAATGGATCGAAGATCATATAAAAAACAGCGACATCTATTAACTTATTCGGCTCTCATGTATCTAAACTTTGTCTTAAGTATCTGAGCATCTCAGCTCCGGTAAGATGATTTCCCGAATGTCCAAACTGACTTCAATGAAAAGATAGGAACGATGAAGTATTTTTCTCAGAGGTGTGGTGCAGCGAGTGCTTGTTCAGCTTTCAGACAACTATTTATAGTGTCTCTTGTTCTGAGCATGTTGTTCGCTTTTAAGAGCCATTAGTAGGAGTATTCAGAAGAAGGAGTTTCCAGTAGAAGACTCCCCTGAGTCGTCTTCTTCTTAGTGTCTAAACGTCTTCGTGGAATTTAGTGGCATCCCGTACCAGAATCTTTTAGTTTTCATTTATTGTTACTTTTGCAAATCAGGGGTAGTATCACTTCCGTACCCTCCCCTCCCTACTTTAGTCACTATGTAATGACATGTATCGACCTAACTTGAAAAACGGCAACCAGAGCATCAGGTCACTAAATATGATGTACATTGAAAACAACTCCTTTTTCACAGAAGCACATATTTTATTCAGTTCACCCACCACTTGTATCATTGATATAGAGCAGATCAATCCTTTCTGGGCATCACATGGAAGAATACCCACCAAGAAGCTGTAACATGATAGAAAAAAAGAAATGAATTGACATAAACCAAAGGACTAGTTTAAGTAATATAGAAATCCTTATCAACGATCTTCCTGAGATATCTTTTTCAAGAAAATTTGAGCCTCGCACGATGAGGGAAATTCCGCACATAAATTGTTTTATCAGGCTGCATCCCACAATTAACTTGTGATGAAGATTCCGTCGCAGGAGTTCTACCCATGCTTCTTAAGCTGTGTGCGGCGCCAGAAAGTATGGCCCACATCTATTGTGTCCTGCTTTCTAAGTACGGACAGTGCTGTACTCCAAAGTAGTTCTTTAGTATCGATATGTTTGGTTCTCGTTTATACTGAAAGTGAATATATCTTTTCGCTTTAAACGGAGTAGAGTAAGAGGGTAGCATGCCCTATCAATATTTCTAAGCATTAGCCTAAACTAACCTTTAGCACCGACCACATGTTTTGAGGCAGTTTCTTATCACGTAGTCATGCTTGCGGCAAAGATACTTCCAGAGGTGACATTCTGGGTTCCCATCTCTACAAGCTAATGAAAAAGAACGTACACGCTACAATTTTATTCAATGATTATCGCTTTAGGTAGCACAGTAATTACTTGTTTACGGCTTGGGGCTCATTATTTTGAGAAATGCGAAATTAGTTGTCATATTCAAGGATCACACACAACCGTAGTAGTGAAAAGCTTTTGACTTTTTTTACCTTTAATTGTTATTATATCATTTGTCGTTTGTTTGCTTGCTTTTACAATCTATTTGTTTCGACATGACAAAATGTCGGTGATGGACGGTCCAATGATAAATAATCTGAAAATATGTTTCGATTAGAACAAAATTTATACTTACAGCCACCGCCACCTCCACCCCCGCCCCCTCCACCCCCGCCAAAACCTGAAAAGGAGGGAATAAGTAATCAGTGCAGGTATGGCAACCGTTTGTTTTTGGGACTAGAAAACAGGGAAGAAATCATGATGACTCAGCCCTCAGTCTGAATAAATGTATGGGAAATTACAATTGATCAGTGGGTTTAATACGATTAAAAAGCTATCAACGCTTTAACTCCCGGAGTTGATTAACAAGTAATTTCTCATGATATCCCTACTTAATTCAGTAAATAGGTATTGAGAATACTCAAAGGAATTAGGTGGAATTTGTTATCTTGATCTAATACCACTTGATCGTCGCTACTTTCCAAGGAAATGTGTAGCAGCTAGATGGGAAGAATTAATAATCAGATCTTGCTGAGGAGTTAAACGGTCAAATGGTGTCCACGGTAAAGGCCAAATGACTTAACGTATTGGCATAAAACAAAGAAATCTGTACTATGCCCAGGGCTTGTAGATCTCCTAACCCCAACACTAACAGACTACACTAAATAACGTATTAAGCCAAGTAAGATGAAAAACAAACAACCCCAAACATGAACAGTAGCATCGACAGTCAAAACCAGACAGTACCATAGAGGGATCGAATGCCGTTGATGTCGTCAGAATGGAGTTGCATGTTTGCAACGTATCCCGTATAATAAGGATACATAATTGCACCACGCACATTAGAATGTTCAAGACCCAGTGCGTGACCGAATTCATGGGTGGCAACCCACAACAAATTTGTTCCACTTGATTGCCCGTCTGTGTACGTTTCATCTTCGTCAAAATGGGCGCGGCCATCTGATGGAAAGAACGCATGTGCCAAGACCTTACCCGGCCCGTCAAATGGATAATTGCATCTCCTTTCACCGTATACACCTCCATGAGATCTGTATCCGAAACTTTGGAAATAAAGAGGTGTAGTTACAGTTAGAGGTAAAGTACTATGGACGCTCAAAAGACTAAAACGTGAAAATGCTTACCTTCTTTTGAAGTTTTCATTTAGCTTTTGCAGGGCCTTATTTCCCTTATATTATGTATGCCTTCGGCTCGTGATGTATAATCTGTGCGAGTGTTCTCCCAACATCTCGCGTGGCTTTATCACGTTATAGAGTGCGGAAAAATTTGTTCTATCGCTTAATTCCTCTGGTTATTATACGTAACTTAACAGGCTCTTTAACTTATTTTCCTTTCTTGAATTTCTGACCTGCGACAACATTTTATTCGTCAGGAGGAGGGAAGGGGTTGGAAGAATTTGGTTGTGTCACTACAAAATTTTACCTCTTTCTCCTTAAGTCTCTACAATATTCGCATCATCCCCCCCCCCATCGTAGGCATTTCACTCGCAGTCAATCTTCTATTGCCTTCCCCCTTACCCCCCTTATAATCTGTTGGCGACGACTGATCATCCCCCTCCGTTCCCCCTAAAAACCATATCGCATGAGATCTCTAAAATCCCTACCCCCCTCCCCGACGATAAATAGTGACTGATTCTGAAGATTGTCGTCACTGATACCAAAATCGTCATTTTTACTCTTACAGCACCCTACCTTATTTTAAGATCGGCTCTAGAACTGGAGGATCTGGAAAAGGACAAGCCTGAGACATCAGCCCAGTATTGTAAAGCTCTTTGGAAGATGCGGTCTTGTTGCGAGTGAGGTAGGTCTCGACCATGCTGAATAAAATACGTTAAATGCGTTTTCCTCCACTTTGAGCCAGTACTGTAACGTCTCACTCGACCCCTGGCTGCCACGTCATCAGGCATTCCACATCTCGGTTTTTTCATCAGCGTTACTGTTGCACGATCGAGTCGGCCGGTGACTTTCAGCCCCGCGAAACGCTGGAAGTTCTTGATTGCTGTATTAACATCGTGGTTTCCAGATCTTGAGGTCGAAAGGTAGTGGTACTGGTTTAGAAAATTCTGTAACAAGGAAAAATTGATGAGAGACGGTGTGTTATAAACGAAACAAAATGGGAGGACAAGAATGAAGATATTACATAAAGGCGTAACTTCAGCTGTGAGTCAATGATTCGTATCGGTAAAAAAATGTGGTCAAATAACTGAAAATAGTATTCATTTCTAGCATTAGGGGCGGTTAAGCCGGGAAATTTCAGTGTATATTTTTTTGGAATGAAACTACGATCCTGAATGGACCAAGAAACAGTTATGGTAGTTTTTGTTTTAGTAAAAAAGGTGAACAATACTCGTCAGATGCTGGCGATGTTTCTTGGAATCTCAGGCGAATCATTCGAGTCCAGCGCTGTTACATTTTGTCTACCAACCGAGTTTGTCCTTCCCATCATCTTGTCAAACATGCAATGCGAAAATGAAAGCACTTTCAAAGCGGGAACACTTCGAGTGCACCGTTAATTTGCTGTCGAATTTCAAAAAGTCGAATTGAATTTCCGAGTGATAACAGAACATAATGGTATATTGTGTACAGATACATATTTCATCTTCCTCACCACCCGTGGTAGACACGGACTGGTTACTGAGCCGCGCAGCAAGGGATTGAAGACCCCAATTATAGTGTCTTGATTTTGGGCAGGGTACTATATCTTCACAGCGCATTTTATTCATTCAGGAGTATTAATGGGTAACAGCGATGCCTAACAAAACACTTAGGAGTAACGTACAAAGCACACAAATCTCACTCAGATGAATATACCCATGAACTGTTAAATTGAAGCTCAGGTGGCTAAACAACTTAGAATCACATACCTTTCCTCTCTTATCATATATAAATGCAAAAACAAGAACCCTTACCAGAGCCTCTGTAGCTTCATCTTCAGCGTGAGTTGAGGCCAGCGCCCCAAAGGCGAGAACTAAAAGCCAAAGCATGGTGTTCGAGTAATCTCGAAGATGTTGGCGATTCCTTTTTTATGCATTGGTTTTTTTTCCTGAGTCATTTTTATGTCACTGAATTTTATTTCGTAAACAGCTATGATAATACAGGCTTAAGAAAATTTAAATTGCGTTTTTGCAATTGGGCCTGAATTTGCTCACTTTAAAGGTGATGTAAGCTTTCGAGGTAAAAGTAATTTCTATGTTTGCATCAGAAGGAAGAACAGCTCAAACTGATGTTTGCACAACTGAATGTTTTCTAAATTTCATTTACTTGTGTGTTTTTATACAAGCAGTGAATCGGGGATGAATGTTGTTAGCAATTTTCAAGATGTTTGTTTCAAGAAGAGAGCTGCGCATTCCAGTATTTTAAAGTATGGTGACGTGTGCATGTTTTTCCAAAAAAGGGTGTTTTATCATTATTTCCTTTCCTGCAATTGTTTTAAAAGAGTAATTATTGAAAAATATCTGCTGTTATATGAAATATCAAGATATCAACCTGGCACATAGTTTAATCACTTGGTGTGGTACAGCGTAGACAGTAGCCCCACCCTCCTTGAATTTGTTCACCGAAGTGGAGGTGGCTAGTGGTGGGTGTTTACTGAGCTGCTAAATGGCGATGTAAATATCCACCTCTTGCCACCGACGTTGAGGTAAATAGTTGTTTTACTATATACTAAGACAGTGCGATAACATAGCACAGAAATATCATTTAACTCACTTATCCTGCAACGATTACAATATTTTCGGGTGCAAACTCTGCACGAGTTGCCCGAAGGTGAATAGTTAACGATTATTCAACGAGCGCGCATTGGATATAAGTTGGCTATATAACCAATCTCTTATCCAACAACCGCGGATGGAATTATTTTTTATTAAATTTCATAAAATCCTTAACCTGTGGATATCTGAAGCTAAATCCAGCTCCACAACAGTTGGCGCAAAGCATTTCCATATAAGGCGACCCAGGATATGAGTTGATAACCGGAGTTGAGTGAACAATCAGAACACTAGTAATGGTATAATCGGAGTTTGGGTTGCTAATCAGAGAACGCATTCAACGCTCACCACTGTTTTAGCATATGCTACAACATAATATATCGCCAAAGATACATTGTCGTTTCATGTAGGAGTGAGCATGTCTTGTCAAGGTGTGATGCAAACAAAGATAATTTATATTTTTTTTTACAATAATACGACACTGAATACTAAATAGGCAGATTTGCATTTTGTAACAGATTCCTTCTCTTAACGTTTCCCGGATTTCTATAGCACTCATTAAGGAGGAACTATCCAGAGATTAAATCTCCCTTAGAAAGTGTTTTTACAAGACAGAATACCTCTGGCAATTTAAAAACGAAATTTTTTATGAATTGAAGAGTTTTTAACAATTTTCAGTATTTGCTTTTTTTATTGCAATAGCTTTATGTTGGTATTAAATTCACGAAGTTTGATATGATTTGAAGAGTGAGTTTCAACAGCTTTTAGAAGTTGCAGTTTTATTCTAACAGCTTTATGTTGGTACAAAAAATATCCATACGAATGTGAAGTTTTAATTTCAATTTCTTTACACAACTGAGCTTTTGTAGGAAGGCAACCTGACATAATTTAATCACTTCATAGCATTCTCGCGTTTCTGTCCTTGAGTCGAACCAGCTGATATCGTATACAATAACAAGATTTAATAAAAACCTCAAGTTTTAATCTAACAGCTTTACGCATCTGTGCCCCTGAGGAGCGGCCATTTTGATTTGTTTGAACAGAGATTCAACTTAAAGCGTATGTAAGGCATAAAAGTGTACAACAAGACTAGAAGGTCTGCTCGAAGAAGAATTCGAAGTCGACAACATGTGGTCGCTGCCGTTCCTTGCCACAATCCTGGCACTAGGAGTCGTCCAAGCAGAGGACGATGAATCATTTGCGTTGGTAGGAAAATGTACTTATAATGAAGAGCAATTATTGAGAATCGCACTATCTCTGAAAAAGCTACTGTAATTACCGGTTACAAAGAAACTATTAGTCAACTAGAAGAAGGATAATAAACCCAACAGCTCATTTTCAGCATTTAGCAAACGACATCAATAATAATCCGCGAAGTTAGAGTTTGTTCAATATCGCCGATGACGACAAAATTCCGAGTCTTAAAAATGAATTATCTAGGTTGAATGAAAAAGGTTTGCATACATTGAAAAATTTTTCGCAGCTTTTTCTGTAGTTTGCCGGCATCGTTCTAGGAATTGCGTTTTTTTATTTCGGAAAATCAACCCTTTTTTTCTGTTCCAAACAGGAGATACCATAATCATTTTTGGGCGCAGAAGGTAAATGAAATGTGATGATTAAGGCTGTGGTCTGAAGGGAGTTAAGTGCTGCAGCAAGATTAAGATATAACTGATTCAAAAAGAGCATAAAAAACCTTCCAATTTTTTATTGGCTGTTCACGGTCTTTTCTCACCAGATCTTTCTCCTGAAAGTCAAAGTTTGTTCTGTTTTCCTGTTTCCGCTGTGTTTGATGTACTCATCTAATCAGCGACTTTGTCTATTATGGAAATCATAATAAAAACAATAATTGAATCAAAAATTTCCTTTACGTTTGAGTTAAGTTATACAAAAGAAAGTAATGGGACTAATCAAGAACAAAGCATTAGATTTTCGCCGTTATTTTTCTTTAATTCACTTTTCTCTTTGAGCCTTTTTTTGCTGAATTTATACAATATCTCAATTGTATCGTTTTCTCATGGCTTTTTCTAAATGCTCTGCTTATTGGCTTGGCTTTGCTCTGCTGATTGGCTTATTTGCCTAATTTTGTAAATTTTGGTAGCGCAGTGAAATTACATGCATTTAGGATGACGGACAAACGTTGAAATTTTGTTCTCGACTAGTACAGGATATAAAGTTTCGCCGAATGTTTTTTTCATTATTGCCATTTTATTGTTTATGCATTTAGTAGACTATTAGAATCTATTTCATTTTTTAATTTCTTCATTTTGTCACGATCATATAGGTACTCGCATCCAAACTACTGGCATTTTGAAAGGTACGACGTCTGGAGCATCTTTAAACATCATAAAAATTGTTAGCTTTGACCACGAGTAGTTGTATAGCTTAAACAAACGAAGGATTGATTAAATGGATTATTCATCAAACGAACTCAATAGGTCCTGAGTACTTTGCATCGATTGGCTTAAATTTTGATGTTGATCCTCCTGTTATAGTCTAGGAAAGGATAGAAAGTGCCTTCACGTTACGGAGAAATTTTTTTTTTGAACCAGCCAGTCATGGTACAAGCCACCAGGCAACAGTCAAAAGTGGGACATTAGGGTGTTTTTACCACCGATAATATCGCAAAGCAATTCGGAAAACTCCAAAGCGTCGCAAAAAAATTACCAAATACCGCAGTACTTCAATATCGAGTCTAGACTCGATGTTATGCTGAAACCACTACTCCGTATGTTACGTTTAGAGCAAAAAAAAAAAAACACGGAAACCAAAATTAAGAATTTGTAATGAACGTTCAGTCACTCTTTTTTTTTTTTCGATTTCAGCCTGTTCAGTTCCGAAAGAATAGGAAACTGGAAAAAGCTCGAAAGGCTGTGGAGGACTTAGGGGATAATTCTTGATACCGTTCAGACTGCTAAAAATCTCCGGCATCCCGCAGGTTCAGAATATAGGGCAATACTTCAATTCCAGATCAAAATTATTCAATACCAAGAGAAAACTGTCCAATACCACCAATAGACCACTTTCATAAATGGCTGCCGGATTAATGTTCTTTTGTTTAAATTTAAATTAGCCCCTCTTACCTCGTTCTCCAGTACAAAATTCAAAAGAATACATTATCTCAAGCGAGGCCAGAAGGGCTAATTTAAATTTAAACAAAAGAACATTAATCCGGCAGCCATTTATGAAAGTGGTCTATAACGCAAACTCCAATGTCCCGCTATGCAGAGTGCTTTTCGAATGAGTTTCGAAACAAAACCAAAGTTAATCCAACAGCCAATTAGAAAAAGAATCAAGGAAAAGCGAGAATTCCAATCTCGTGAAAATTGCACTATTGAAATGCAGGCGAAAAAGTCGCGATTGGTATATGACCTACAGAAAAATAATTTCAACCCCTGAAGAGTTTTGACATTGAGCTACGAATTTCTTTAACATCTAATTAAGTCAATATGTTCGTTGTTTGTCTTTTAGTGAATCTGTGGCTCATCCCCATTTTAACAAAATATATCTACTCACTAAAACAAGGGAAGCCTTTCATATAACGAGTCCGTGGAGGGTCTTCGATCAAAGATAACGAAAAAGGGCCTGGCTCGAGGTTCGAAATGAAGGCGCGAGAGCCTGTGCCTTATCAAAATATATCCTGCGGTCGGGTGCCGATTTCAACTGATCACCATCAAGTCTAATCTGGGACCCTGGTCATTTTCATTCACCCACGTCTGTTTATAAAGCAGCCTCAATTCACATGTTTTTTCTCCTCTTTGGCGAAATTTGACTTTAGTCGCCTAAAGTTATGGCGGCTTTAGATCCCAGAGTAGGTTTAAAATTGTCGTCACCTCGGCTCTCTTAAGATCGAGCCGAAACATGAAGTGCATGTTACACAAATTTGACATATTTCACGGAACAATCAGGTTTAAATTTCTTTGATTTGCAAATGGTCGAAACAGTTATAACTGCTCAAATAATTTTCTTCCTTTTATTTCGCACATGCTAACTGTGATTTAGTTATAAATTTCCTTGATTGGTCTGCTTATTAAAGCAGAACTTTGCAACAAACACGAATTTATTACCTTCCTCTCATTTACCAAAAATACGCCGAGGATCGGTCAAACATTAAAAAATAGCCCCTCTGTAAATTGGGTACAAACACTAAAACTACCAAATGCAGCACTGTATTCTTTATTGCATTGTATCTAAAGTACTTCTACATCAAGTAACTTGAAAGACGCCGTCTCAAGGGACACTTAGCTTCGGCGTTTACACGTTACCTGCAACCAACAAAAAGCTCCTGTAATTTGCAAAGTAATCAATCTGATAAATGACTGAAAGAATAAAAAAGAAATAAAGAAAGATAGAAATAGAGAAAGAAAGAGGGAACGAATAAATGATTGAATGGAGAAATTTAATAACTGATTAATGACAGATGGGTGAAATTGCTCTTCTAAATTATGTAACTTACAATTGAAACAGGACTTGGGGCACCAGTACTTCATATTGTCGGGGTATATTTGACAATAATCAGCATCCACATAAGGTTTACATTCCATTCTGTCGTTGCAATTACCTGCATGGTTTGTTATCATACAATTCACATAAGTTACAAGTCCAAATCGAACGTGTAAATATCCCTCGTTAGAACCCACCCATTATTTTTCGCGCGATTCTATTGGCTATTTTACGTCACGTGGCTCAAAATCAACGAACAGTTATCTTGCAATAACCCCTATTTACGTCAATTTCTACCCTCCGATTATTTCAGCAGAGATAAAACAAAGCCAGCGGAAAAAAAGCCATGTCAATAGTTTCATTTTTCACCTTTCTCGTTTGCAGAAGTCCACTGGCAGTGACATCGAAAAAACTGGTCTCTAAGTTTGGCTGAGAGACTCTCCTCAAAATTTTGCATTTGCCCTCGAAGCTTGGCTTCTCTACCAAATCAGTATTAATTTTTTGGACAATATCTCAATCGGATACATTATCAGTCGATATGCCAGCAGCCTGAAGGGGTTTATCAATAAATAAGCAGCTGTTCACGAGTTATATTAACAGTTTCGATGCGTGGATGCAGTGTTGGTTGGTGAAAAGCATGTTGTGTTATCAAAAACCTTTTTCGGGCAGCTTTCGCTTACAATGTCTTTTAACATTCGTTTGATTTAGATCAGTGAATAGCCTGACCGGATGGTCATCATACTATTAAATGAAAATATTTTTGAGTACCTTAATACTTCTATAAGCACATGCAATAGATCCTAGATTTAAATACTCAATTTCAATGCATTTATAATGACTCTCAGGTTTTCGGATAATGAATTCAATCATATGATATGAACATATTAGACTTACAATGAAAACTCTGATTGGCCGAGAGCGTACAGTCAATATACAACAGAGTGTGAAGTTGACACGATAACCCAAGATCTGTAGCAGATATTAGGTTATTATGTCTAGGCTCCAAGACCCTTAAGCTTGTCCGTGTAGTGTTCTCAAACTCTTACAAACTTGGAGAGAAGTGTCGTGTCATGCAGATAATAATTGAATTTTAGTTTCGCCTGATATCATGCTCAACCTCATCCAATAATTGCTTATTAACCCGTTTTGTTCACTTACTAAACAATATGTTTTTGTAAGCACAGTCACTTACCTGAATCCGTGGGAGCAGGGTTGGGAGCAGGAGTCTGTACTCCACCGCCGCCGCCAGTGTTAGGACCTGTTTGGAAGGAAAAGGACAAGAAAGTTTTAAGACAGTGTACTTAAACCTTGACGTTTGTAGGGGACCCTGCAAATTACTCTTCTGAGTGGATATCACAAGCACGTATGCTCCTCAACAGTGAGGAAAGCTTTTACATGTATGTCGACCAACTATTGAATAGATGTTAACCCAATCACCCACCATAGTTTCTTTAGTATACAGTAGAGAACTCTTTGGAAGTAAATGGCTAACGCAGTTTCATTGAGCCATGAGATGCGACAGTGTCCATCTTTCTCACCGTACGGTCATCTCATAAATCCATGTCACGAAATAGTGTTCAAAACCAAAATCTTTTTGTACTAACCGTACAAATACTGTATGCCTGCAATGTCGTCAGAATGAAGTTGCATGTTTGGTACATAGCCTGTATAGTAGGGGTACATGATGGCACCACGGACGTTAGAGTGAGCTAGTCCCAAGGAATGACCAAACTCGTGTGTTGCCACCCATAGAAGGTTGGTACCACTTGATGTGTCGTGAGTAAAGGTTTCATCCTCATCAAAATGAGCTCGTCCGTCGGTAGGATAGTACGCATGCGCTAGAGTACCACCGGATCCGTCAAAGGGATATGGACAAGTTCGTTCTACACCAGTCCCTCCGTGACTCTAGCGTCCAAAACTAAGAGATAAAAGGAGTGTACTGTTTGTGTAAAAGTTGTTTATAAAAGAGAAACATGTCTATGATTATTGAGAGTACCCAATTTGCTCTTTGCTTTTGCCTTGGAGGCAACTGGTTGAGACAGTTTATCTTGCTATCTATTGAATGACATTAGATTTTGTTAGACATTTAAGAATAAACACTAGCGAGAAAAACACACAACGTTTCGATGACTCCATGTCATCATTCTCAAGTGAGAAGAGAATAAAAATGAATAGTTAATTTATACCGTACGAAGGTGGCAAACGTAAAAAGTTTAAAATATTTAAAATATTTAAATAAATAATTGCGCGTGTT